AGCTTGCAGCATTAGAGTGGCTGCGTGCCCGCGCCGTAAAAGGGAAGTCACGCGTGCCTTTGGCCTCAGCTTTCAGCTGCATTTGTTCGAGGCATTATGTTGTAAGCCATGGGTGACGACTGGATCTGAACAGTTGGAATCCAACTTCGCATGCCCTCCAAAATGAGATAGACGCACCGCGGCGTCAGAAGGGCTTAAACGAGAAAGAAACTCCAATCCGCCAACCGGAAGAGATGTTGCAGCGACGACCACGAAGCTTCGGAGTACTTCCAACCGTAACGCTCGAACGAAGTGGGGGGGAGAGGGGGAAGGAGAGATAATAGAGGACGAGAGAATGGTCAGCAAATTTAGGGAGCACAACACACTCGACCTGATCAGGCACATCGGTTAAGACAAGATCGAGAACATTCACGCCCGGAATCGGAGATCGGACGGGTTTTTGAAACCGTGAAAAGAGCACCAATTGTGCATAGCAATGCCCTCTAGACTCGTGATCTCGAACAACGAAGCCATTGCAAATGATGCAAATTTAGATCTCCAATCAACACTGTACCTACAGCTAAGAAGGAATGTTGACATGCGAAGGCATTAATAGTTGCCTCTTCGCCAGACGTGCCAACAAGCAACTATGTCAGGAACATTGATAATTAAATATTGTCCAAAAAAAATCGGCCTGAGGCGAGCGAGGGAGGGGAAAAAATAGACTCTCATCAGAATCCAAGGCAAACATCAAAACTCCACCGCCGTGCGCGTTCCTGTTTCTACGATCGACAATCGTGTATCCGCTCACGCACGGAGTTAGACAAGACTGGTCAAGCTTACTTTCGTTAGTGAGGAGGGGGAAAGGAAGAGCAGGGAGAAGACGCAAACGAGCTTCCAGCTCGCTACGATGATTGAAAAATACATCGATATTGATACGCAATATAGTGAGATGTTGTGAAACAACCGACGGTACGGATTCGGATTTCCGCAGACCCCTGCTGGGAGGCGAATTCTGATTAAAAACGACGTTATCAACCTTTGAGAGACATCGACGCGACTGACACGCTCAACGAGAGGAGGCGGAGAAGGAACAGGAGGACGAAAGCAAAACGGGGTAAGCGAGCACGAGACCTGCTTAAAATTAGCCGGCCTGAGCATGGTCGAAAATCTGTCCTGAAAAATCGCCGGCTTAAGGTTTCGTCGAACATCCGCTCTGGGAAATCTCCGGCCTAAGGCACGTCGAGGATGTGCTCTCCAAATTCGCCGGCCTTAGGCTGGTCGAAAATCCGCTTTGCGAATTCGCCGGCCAGACTGGTCGAAAATTCGCCTTGAGAAAAAGAAGGCACAACGCGATCCGGAATCTCCTGCAGAGAGTTCTCCCCGCACAGAAGTTTTCGACTGCAGCAAAGGGCAATTTTTTTAATTTGTCTGCCAGCGCCACTGTCAAAATGAAAATTGCAGTGACTAAGATAAATCTGAGCAGGAATTTGGCGTTGCATAAAGCAGAACAGTTGATCAAATCTGATAGCTGGACGTGTGCCCAGACAGGTAAATCACGCGTAGTCAGTCAACAACGCCACAGCGTTTCACCAGATTGTGACTTTTAAAAGAACGCTCCTCAACAAGTAGTCTCATTCGAAATTCCCGTAGGGATTCGGGGGGGCACGTTCGCATTTTGATATTTTTCGACGACGACAATGTTGAGTATTCCGCCCTCCACGATGTGGACACTGAGCGGCTCCCGAGACGTGGGTTCCGGAGGCGTGAGGAGCAGGCCGGAAACTCACACACGTAACGCGCGCACACACACACGCCGTGCATAACATATACGCGAAAACATAACAAGCGGGAACATGCATAGCACAATGCGGAACAACAGCGAACACGGCGAAACGGGATACCAGCACGAAGCAACAAAATAAGTTTTTTTTGTTTTTGTTTTTGTTTGTTTATCCCGCTTCTTTTTTCTCGTACAACATGGAAAAAGGTGAGTTGTTTTGTCGTTCGTCTGGTGTTTTTTTGTTAGCATGTTTGTATGTATATATTTCGTTCTTGCTTGTCGTCTTTTTGTCTGATTCTTAGGCTTCTTAGTTTGGCAGTGTGGATACACGCGGTTTTCGGTATGACAGAAAATGTTATGTCCCCGCCCCGCTTACTTTCATGACGTACCACGGCAACCCGCATTGATCAGTGCAGTCCGTGGCACAGCGTAGCAGTGAAACAATTTCACCACAGTGCACACAACAGCACGACGTACAATGGAACTTCATTGTATACTGCGGCCACAGACGTCAATCGGCAGCTGCGGGCCTTCTTGCCAGGCGCCGATCGGCGCCGCGCGCTGCAGGGCCCCGCCCGGGATGCCGGCGCCGCCTCCGCCGCGCCCGGAGTCCGCGGCCTTTCGGTGCCGCGTGAGGCTGCGCCCAGCTCTTTTCCCTCTTTCGAAGAAGGGGAACAATGATCGGCACAAATATCAAGTTTTGGAGTTCGTCGGCATTTCTTGGATGTGCCGGATCCACGTGGCGGCGCCGACTGCGCAGCGGCTGGCGCTCTCCATGCGCCTGGGAAGGGTGGCTCAGTGCAGCTGCAAGAAGGTCGCACGGGCCTTCACAAGTTTATGCTAATGTAGTCTGTCTGAGTAGTTTTTCTTCCTCTACTGTTGCGCCCGCGCCCGTTCGCCCCCCGTCGTCGTCACCGCAGTCCCATCCTTCCCCCGTCTAGCCCTCGAAGACGGGTTCGGAGGAGATGGGGTCGGAGGATTGCTCAAAGTTGTTTTGGGGCTGGGCCATGGGAAACCCAACCCCTCTAGGCCCCCCTGCCCCTGCTGGCCCTTTCTCTCCCTCCTATCACCCCCTCTCTGGTCTCACTGCCTTCCTCGAGAGTGTTTCTGTCGACCCTCATTCTGTAATATAATGCTCGTTATATGCCCCCCCATTCTATAATATAACGCTCCCCCCCCCCAGTGCGTCCCCGGCACGGCCACAGTGCGTCCGGCACCAAATTGGTGGTGCTGAGCCCACTCGGCGGACGGGGTGGCGTAACGATATGCCCCCCTGCCCTCTCACCCCGCCCTCCCCGCCCTATACGGGCCGTTATCGCCGCGAGTAAAAACGTGCTCCCTCCCCCAGCAGGCGCACCAGGCGAGCTGATTCCAGAAGCAGTCGATGCTGTATGGTCTCCCCTTGTCACGCTGTCGCTGTTCAGGGGGCCCCCTCCGGTCAGACATGTGTCGAACTTGTTGCCCGGATGTTGCGATGTGGTGCGCTGTCGAACGAGTCGTGCGCGTGCTGCTGTGCTGCACTGCGCGGTGCCGTGTGGTCCCGGATCGAGCTCTTTGCCTGCCCGTGCGGAGCCGCCTCGCAACGGCTGCCCAGGCGGCGGTGTCGTGCACCAGTGGTTTGCCGTAGTCGAGGGGGGGAGGTCAGTTGACTTTCTGGCGCTCGCATGCGTTATGGCGCCAACATCGCAGAGCGGACTTCGTTCGGAAAACGATGGGATGGGCCCGGATTGTCCTGGAGAATTTCGTTCCGGATGTCGAAGTGAATTCGTGCGTTTTTTTGGGGGAAGGCCAGGAATGACGACAAAAACAAATCCACGCGGACTTCCCTTTCGTTTTTCGCTCGCCGTTTCGGCGTTTTGGACTGACAGAAATCCACGCAAGAATCTGCTGCAGCACGTCTGCAACGTCAGTATCGTCTAACCAAGCCCCATCCCCATCCCCATCCCCTTCGAGACCCCCAAGCAAATTGCCACCCCACTTGGGGACACACCCCTCGAAACCCCAAGGGAACGACCTGCATCCCCATCCAGGGGGGGGGAAATCGGCCGGTGGGGCTCAGGCCACGCCTTTAGGGATGAACCCCGAAGGAGGAGGAGGAGGAGGAGGAGCAGCAGGAGGAGGAGGAGGAGGAGGAGGAGGAGGAGGAGGAGGAGCAGGAGGAGGAGGAGGAGGAGGAGCAGGAGCAGGACGAGGACGATGCTCAAGTTGACCTTCTGGCGCTCGGAGGCGTCGAGCTCCGGGGCCGTCGGCCGTCTTCGCCGGGGCTCGGCGGCCGTCGCCGGGGTGCGCTCTCCAGCAGCGGCGCCTCGCCGAGGGCGCCTCGTCGGGGGTTGCCGGGGCTCGTCCCGAGCGGCGGCGGGAGGCCCGGGGGTGAAGTTTCAGGTCGGGCCTGTCGCCCTACAGGAGGAATATGCAAAACTGGTCGAAGAATAGTCTGGGGACGATTTTTTTTTGGCATGTGTAGCCTATTTTGGAATATTAGGGGAGTTCTTTTTGTTTATTTTCAGGTCGGGCCTGCCCCTCTACAGGAGGAGTATTCGAAGATAGTCAGAATTATCGTCTGGGGACGTTTTTTCTTGTGCTCTTTTCGAGATTGTTTTTTGTTTGTTTGTTTGTTTTGTTTATTGTTTTTTTTTTGTTTCGCCCACAATCCGCCTGTAGGGGGACATGCCCGACCTAACCCGAGTTGTAAGTCGGGCAGTCGGGCCTGTCCCTCTACAGGAGGAATTCTCAAAAATAGTCAAATCATAGTCCAGGGACAATTTTTTGAGAATGCCTTGCCTATTCGGGAGTATCTTATTGGAGTATTTTCAGAATGAGGGGGACCAAACACATACTAAAAACAAAAACTAAAACTAAAAATAAAAAAACAATATAAAAATTTAATAGTAACACGAATGATATAAGTTCAGAATGTTTGCCCAAAACTCGACCTAAAGCTATCGACCTAACCGAGTTACGATCTAACCCAAGTTACGACCCGAGAGCCGGGCGATGAGGATGGTTGAGGGGGTCACGGCTGGACCTAAACGGTATTTTGCTGGACTTCGGCTGTGTTGTGTTCTTCGTTTTGGGTGGGAGGTACAGGGAAACAGGAAAGAGCAAAGCGAAAAGCGTAACGGAAGCAAAGCGAAAATCAAGGTGCAGGTCCAGCCCTGGAGGGGGGCATTTTGTGGGACGGATCTCTCAAGCTTCCCGCCGCCTCAAGCGGTGTTCTTTCAGAGCAGGAACGAAGCGAAGCCACAGAAAAGCCTGGCGTTGATGGTGTAGAACCGCACACGCGTCAAATGCTCCAGCGAGCAAGAACACAGCAACGCCCTAGGACAGCAGCATTGACAGTGGAGCTCAGCATCAACGGTGGCGGGGGAGGCCTCGCGACATGTTCACGAGCGTTGCTCCACCCGAAAACCGGGCGACGAGGATCGTTGAGGGGGCGATGTGGTTCATAATTAACAATCTAGCGACAGAGAGTTGTCAGTTTATGTCCAACACGGGCAGTCGTTCTTTTTGGTTAGGGGGCGATTCTCATGCAACCAAGGTCGTGTGAAAACTGCGGACTCTTGGTGGATATGTCCCCTGCTCCCCCTCTTATCATGCCCTTCCCCCTCCTTTTCCCCTCTCGCCTACTGCTGCTGGCTCGGCCCGAGCTGGCTTGAGACCATTTTGGCATTCGGACGTGGATGCCGAGGGACAAAACAGGGCCTTCTCGCTCTTGAGCCCTGGCGGGCTCCGCCGCCAGACCCCGCTGCGGTTCCGGGGGAGCGAAGGCCCACAGCTCCCCGGTTCCGCATGTCGGCTGTGCTGTGCGGTCGGCACCGTTGGGGCCTGGGGGGCACGACGCTGTCCTTGTCGGGGCTCCTCGGGGCGCGGCCGGAGAACTCTGTCGAGATCCGCGCCTGCCCTCCAGGGTGTCGCCCAGTGTGCCGGTTGCAAATCGCACCCTCTTTCTCGGAGGCGGCGAAGGGGGCGAATGGCCCAGCGGGGGGGCAGCACATGTATCCAGGGGCGCCGATGATCCATTCTCTCTTCAGCGAGGCTCCCGGAGGGGTGCGTGCAGTGCTCTCCCCTGATCTATTCGCCTCTGCCGTCGCCTCCGATCTGCAGGCTGCACCTCTCGGAGTCGCCGCCCAGGGGCAGGCCTCTCCCGAAGGCGGCGGGGCTGCTCCTCCGTGCGGGCTTCTGCCCGCGCGCGGGGCCCTCCGCGCGCCCTGTCGGGCGCCCGCCCGCGCCGCACGGGCCACGCAGAGGCGGCTGTCCGTCGCCCGCCTCGGCCTTGCTGGCGGTCGCAGTTTTGGCCACCATAAGTTGGAGGGGGAGAGGGTGTCCTCCTCCTCCTCCTCCTCCTCCTCCTCCTCCTCCTCACCGTCCTCCTCCGCCTCGTCCTCCTCGTCGTTTCCCCTTTACCGACTTATGGTGGTGGTGGTGGTGGTGGAAAACAGGCCCATCATGGACTGCGCCGTCGTGGGCGCAGCGGAGTATACGGGCAAAACGCTGAGATGAGGAACGGTTTGGGTTCGGAAGGGGCTCGACGTTCCTTAGATCCTTCCATGGCTGTTCCGCTAGCTCTCCTCGTGCAGGCAGGCCCCGCTGGGGCCACGAAGGGGCTCCGTTTCTCCTTTCAGCGCTCCTTCTTCCAGCAGCCCCTCTGTATACGATCGGGCTCGGTTAGCAGGTCGACCTTGGAGCCGGCTGGGGGTCGGAGGTGGCTCAGCACTGGTTCCGGCGAGCAGGAGGGGGGGGCGAGGTTCGAGGGTCTGGGTTCGAGAAGGTCTTTTGCCTTTTCCGGCCTCGGGGGGCCGATCTTGGGCCCCGAGGCCGTCCAAGACGGATCTGGGGGGAAAAGCCTCACCCGGTGGACCAGCGGACCCCGTGAGGAGTCCAGGGGTCCATTTGGGCGGCTCTGCATTCACTCCCCCCTGTCGGATTGGGATGCCAGGTGCGGCCTGCGTTGACGCCGCGGCGACGCCAGCTCGGGCGTTCGAGCTTGAACGCCGCTGCGGGCCCAGAACCTGCCGATGTCGACAGACCGGCGAGATTCCAAAGCCCCGATCGTTGAAGGTTGAACGATCCACTCGGCGTTAGAAACCAACGCCCGCGACATCGCGACGCGAACCAGCCGTAGGTCGACCCTGCCAAGTCAGGGGTACCCTGGTATCCTTCGAAGAAGAAGAATCGGGAGGGAAAGAAACACACAAACACAATTTATCGTCGACTCCTCGGAAAATTATGGGAAAATCTGGGAAATGGGGGGGAAGACGAAAACCCAGAAACTATGGCACATTATTGGGAGTCCTTTTATTTGTGTCTATTTCTTTGTGTGTCCCTGGGCCCCTTCGAATAACCCCACAGATGTAAGCTTTCGGAGCTCCGGGCGGATTTCTTGGATCGGCGCTGGCTCCCCCCTGGCGGCGACTCTGGCGTCACCCCTGGCGCGCTCCGCGCGCCAGGGAGGGGGTGGGGGTCCTAGTGCCGATCCGAGAAATCCGCGCGGACCTCCGAGAGTTTATGTTTATGCTGATTTTCATTCCTTTAACTAGGTCGACCATGCCAGAACAAGGATGCCCTTGTATCCTGTATGCTCGCGTCCCGTGTCGTCCGCATTCCTCGGGCAGTGTGGCCCTCGGAAGTGTCTTTTTTGTCTCCTCGCGTGTCCTCTCTGATCAAACTCGACTGTGCGGTCGGGAACTAGTGCTTCAAAAAAAAAAGGGGGGCCCCCGGGTGGGGTCGCTCCGCCGGTTTGGCCCCCCAACGCTTTTTCAGGCGACGCCCACCCCGCGCCCGAGTGGGACGGTTCCCCGGGCCGTAGCGACCCCGGGAGGGGAGGCGGGGAGGGGGAGGAGGAGGGAGGAGGAGGAGGAGGAGGGAGGAGAGGTAGGAGGAGGAGGAGGAGGGGGAGGAGGAGGAGGAGGAAGGATGGAGGAGGGAGGAGGCAGGGGGAGGAGGGGGAGGAGGAGGAAGAGGAGCAGGAGGAGGAGGAGGGAGGAGGAGGAGGCTTTCTAGGCCTTGGAGGAGGAGGGAGGAGGCGGAGGAGGAGGAGGAGGAAGGAGGAGGAGGAGGAGGAGGAGGATGGAGGAGGAGGAGGAGCGAGGAGGACGTAGAAAGGTGATGATGATGAGGAGGAGGAGGAGGGAGGAGAGAGAGGAGGATGAGGATGAGGAACGAGGAGGAGGAGTAGTAGTAGGAGTAGGAGTAGGAGTCAAGCTAGCCAGCTCGAGCGAGTCAAGCATGGCATGCCCAGTCCACCCGCCCTCCCACAACATAAGAAGCAAAGCTGGCACAACTGGGGGCCGAAGTCACACCGGCCAGCCGGTTTGGTACAGCTGATGCCGCCGCGATGGCGGTTGCCGACGGGAACTGGCGAGCGCGCGTTGAATGCCGCGCACGCATTGCCAGACGAGTCGAGAATGGCCCGGTACCCCGCAGGAAGCCAGAGGTGGCCGGAGGAAGCCCGACGGTCTGACAGGACACCCCAAAGCATTTTTGTGAAAAGCATTGGGTTTTTGATGTTTTTATGTTGAAATGCTTGCAAACACACGGTGTTCGGTAGGATTCTGACATGAACGCGCGAGTGTGCTCTTTGTGGTATTTTTTTCACAGGATTCGCGGCCTGGGTGCATGACAGAGCATCGCGAGTGCACCGCGCGATGACGTGAAATCGCTGGATTTGACAGAATTCTTAAGATTCCTATGGTTTTCCTATGATTTCGGCAAGAGAGCCCGGGCAGGAAATTTGTAGAATTTTTGTGGAAAAAAGCATTGGGTTTTTGATGTTTTATGTTGAAATGCTTGCAAACACACGGTGTTCGGTAGGATTCTGACATGAACGCGCGCGTGTGCTCTTTGTGGTATTTTTTGCAATGGATTATCGCCGTGGACGACAGGACGTCCATGTCGAGAGGAACAAATAAGAAAAATGTTGATTTTATATTGTTTTTTGCAGGTTAGGATGGGACCCTCCGGATGCGGCCCCTAATGGCCCGCCTGAGGGGGGGAGTAGGAGTATATTCTAATAAGAATAAGGATATGAGGAGGATGATGAGGAGGAGGAGGAGGAGGGGAGGAGGAGGACGAGGAGGAGGTAGGAGGAGGAGAGGAGGAGGAGGAGGAGGAGGAGGATGGAGGGAGGCGGAGGAGGAGAGGGAGGGGGAGCGGAGATGAGAGGGAGGAGTTGATGAAGTGAGGGGTGAGGGAGGGAGATGGAGGACGGAGGAGGAGGAGGAGGAGGAGGAGGAGAGGAGGAGGAGGAGGAGGAGGAGGAGGAGGAAGAGGAGGAGGAGGAGGATGAAGAGAGGAGGAGGAGGAGGAGGAGGAGGGGGGGAGGACAAGCTAGGTGCGCTCGCGTCATATCTGACATCCTACCCCTCCCTCCCATTCCTTACCATGGCGCAGATCCCCTCTCTACTCGCACAGTCGGATGTCGAGCAGGGCAATGATCCCGAAAGGGTACGCGATGCATTGTAGAGCACGGCATGGCATGGCGTAGAAGAGCACCGCAAAGCGTAGTATCAACCTAGCATTGCATTGCATGCCGTGGCATGGCACGGGAAATGACGCCAGCGCTGCAGCGGGAGCACGAGTCGGAACGAGCGGAAGCGCGGAACTGAGGCAAGCGCTGCAGCGGGAGCACGATTCGGAACGAGCGGAAGCACGGAAATGAGGCCAGCGCTGCAGCGGGGCCCAAAAATGAGGCCGGCGCCTCAGCGAGAGCAGCATTTGAGCAAAATTTGCAAGCGAAAGCCCAACTCCAGGGAATCCTGTGTGTAAAAAAACAGTGCGCGGGGGGGGGGCTAATACTTTCAAACCGTCATCAGGGGAAGAGGGAGAGTAGATTCATATTGAGTAATTGTGGAGGAGGAGAGGAAGAGGAAGAAGAGGAGGAGAGAGAGGAAGGAGGAGGAGGAGGAGGAGGAGGAGGAGGAGAGGAGAGGAGGAGGAGGAGGAGGAGGAGGAGGAGGAGGAGGAGGAGAGGAGGAGGAGGCGGAGGAGGAGGAGGAGGAGGAGGAGGAGGAGGAGGAGAGGAGGAGGAGGGAGGAGGAGGAGGAGGAGGAGGAGGAGGAGGAGGTAGGAGGAGGAGGAGGAGAGGAGGAGCCAGAGGCTGGAGGAGGAGAGGAGGAGGAGGGAGGAGGAGGAGGGAGGAGGAGGAGGCGGAGGAGGAGGAGGAGGAGGACGGGAGGAGGAGGAGGAGGACGGGTCGCCTAAGCCCTTCGGAGGAACCCTCCACGCCCGAGGAATGGAGGAGGATGGGGAGGTGGAGGTTGAGGAGGAGGAGGAGGAGGAGGAGGAGGAGGAGGAGGAGGAGGTGCAGGACTTTCAGGAGCGTATCCGGGGTGAAAAATTGCACCAGGTGGGACACCCGGGGGGGGTGTCCTGGGACCGATCCTGAGCGGAATTGGCCTTACCCCCGTCCTGGCTGTTCCTCTGTGGTCCCAACCAGCTCAGATCTCCCGGCCGCCTCCAACACACAGTCTCATTCCGAGGGTATCGCTGCGCTGAGATGGAGAGCAAGCAAAGGGAGGTAGGTACCCCCACCTCTTTCCCCCAATTCCCGAGACCCCTACCCGCGAAAACTGGCCGCTCACAAAAAATGCGAACTCGATGACACACCCTGGGGGGGGTGATATCCGGGCACAATCCCATCGAAGATGGACGCCCCCCCCATCGTGTATCCCTGGGTTTGGCTTCGAATTCCTTGCCCAGTCGAAGCTCCCACAAAGGTGGGAATGTGGTCGACATACCCTCCTTTTCCGCGGCGCGCCGAGGAGGGAAGGCAGAAAGGGCGGGCATCTTCAGAAGGCTCAGAAGGCTGGAGGCCTTCTGCGAAGCGTCCTGCGCCTTCCTCTGAGCCGCAGAGGGCCTCTCAGAAGCCGGGGTGCGGCTTCCGAGAAGCCCATCCGCCCTCTGAGAAGGCCTGCCCCCTCCCACTTCCCCCTTTGGTGCGTCACCTAATTTGGTTTGCGGATCATAACTCAGGTCTCCGGCGTCCGTTCGGGACGATCCGTGCATCCGGGACGATCCGTGCACTCCGCGAGGCGCAGCTGCTGGAGAGCATCCCGAGGCTGAAAAACTGCAGAGTGACTACGAAACCGCCCGAACACCCAGAACTTCGAACCTCCCTCCCTCTCATCTTAGGATGTAACTCCTGGGAGGCTGAATTCAGCATCGGCGCTGGTGTATCCATGGTCGACTGGTGGCTCAATCCGGTTTGGTCCCGCTCCGTCCGGGTTGATTCCGCTGGCCTCGGCCGATCCCGGGCCTCACCTGGCCTCATCCGGCACAGTGGCTCCCTCATAGGGCTTCGCAGCCC